AAGTACTCCAAAAGGGTGTATATAAGCTCTGTACCGTCAAAGAGAATATAATAAAAATACCTATAAATAGGAAATTAATTAAACAATACAATTTCAGATAAGGAAATGTACAAAGGAGATAAAGAACAAAAAGAGACATGAATTAGTTAAAATTACCATTTTATTATAACAATATATTATGACGTCATAAATAAACTTTAATTTTTTTAAAAAAAAAAAAAAATTTTTTACCTTGAATATGTTAGAAGTTTCAACTTAAAAGCCACAACTTATGAAAATACAAGACTAATAACCTATATGAAAAAAACATTAAGTGCAAGAATTAAGCAATAAGAATAATTTTTGAGTTAAGTCATGTGGTCAAGATAGTGCTGTTGCATATAGGATAAATTTGAATTGAAATCTATCAATATAAACATTCAAAACTAAATAAATAAGGAAATCAGAAGAATAATAATTGTAGGATTAGATATTTGAATATAAGAAATTATTAGCCGATTAGAGATTCAACTATATTAGATTAATACTAATATACGAAGATAGGTTGCACTTAAACTAATTTGTACTGAACAAGAATTTATTTACGGATTGAATAAAAAATTATAAACTTACAACACAATCAAAATTAGAGATCATTTATTTAAGCATCGAATGTTATAATAATTAGTTAAGAAGGATTTAAATTACCAACTCGATTACACAATATAATCCTGGAAGAATCACATAAAACAGGGGAGTAGTATATAAAGATTATAGTTTAAAATTTTTTTTTATATAACATTTTATTAACATCTGCTTTAACAAAAATTATTTATAAGCTTTTTAATATTGCTGGACAGAACAATATCATATTGCTTACTATTACTAGTATACTCTGCAAATTATTTCATATATATTAACTCAGTTATTTATCATTAAATCGCTACTTTACATATAACAATTTTATATATGGGTGTGAACTAATTTCCAAATCTTGGAATAACTAATCAAGATGTATTGATGGAATTGATGAAATAGAATACGAATTACAGACAGAAAAAAGAAAGATTTAGAAATATGTTATTAGATGGAATTACTCAAATTGTAGATTTATCGTCCAATACTAAAGAATATTCTCAAGAAAAATCTTTTCAATCCGATCGTGATAATGATATAGAAGTTGATGATCTACTGAGAACTGTAACCAGTCGTAACTTCAATTCTCAAGTGAAGAAAATAGTTCGGCATTCTGTCGACAATCAAGACTACGAATCAAAAGTTTTAATATGAAGAAATTAAGGTTATAATAATTATCTTATTATAAATATAAAGATATTATTTTATATTATTTACAAAAAAAGCTAAGAAAATTTATTTATTTATTTAATAATATATAATGAGATTAAAACTAATATAATAAAACTAACAGAAATCTTCTTTGTCTAAAAGTTTTTTAAGAGCTTCATAATGAGCCTTTGCTTCTATTTGACTATAATCTGTTTCTTCTCTTTTGAACCAAGGGATCTCAGATCTACTACTTCCTCCTACTTCTTTAATATTCATTTGGACTTCATCTTCTATATCCTCCATACTATTAGAATCTATATCTTGTTCTTGTTCCCATTCTCTATATGC